GAGCTTGTAACACTCCAAAGAGAAAGGAAAAATTTTAATCGCATCATATGACCCCTTTAAAGACGCGGCGCGTCTGTGGAGTGCGCGTCATGGGAAGCAATGTGCTCAGTAATTAAAGAGGCAGGGCGGCGTTTCTGTTATTTAGTTTGTGACATCCTTTATGGGAAACGCCGGCGCAAGGCTGCTCACAGCGCTTGGTCACGTGTCGCACCAGAACCGTTTTCGGAACCGAAACTTAGAAATAGCTCACGGTTCCGGTTATTTTCAAAAAACAGAACCGGTTCTGAATAAGAACCGGTTCTCAGTTCCCAACCCTACATACAGTACAGTAGTGGTCAATATTAATAATAATAATAAAAAAAACTTAATTTGTCATACACATAACTATGCGGTCCCTCACTTAGTGTGGAAAACTTGATGTGGCCCTCGAAGTCAAAAAGTTTGCCCACCCCTGGTTTAAACACGATGTGACACTGCCTCGATTGTGCAAGTGACAATTTCTGTGTCAACTGTTCAGCTCGCTTATAGTGCAGACGCGATGTGGTGATTTGAAGCCATTTGCGCATTTTGAGAGGGAAAGAGAGAGCGCGTTGTGATTCACTCACGCTATTTGTGAAATTACGTCTCACAGAAAGTTTTTAAATTAGCTACTTTATAAGTTATTTAATGAAGAAATATGAATTGTACCTCACCTTCAAGCATTATAATTATTTCACCCGCGCCGGATAGAGACTGAGACTGTGCCGCTGCATGTCATGCCAAACCTCTCACAGCAGGCGCATCATCAGCTTGAGATCGGTTTTTAGAGATCGGCCTTTTTAGAGACCGCCGATCAAACATCCCAACGCGATTATTGGCCGATAGTGATCGGTAGCCGATCAATCGCAGCACCCCTAAAACATTACATTAAAAGACTGCACAGATGTTAACATTAGTGTGTGAATAATAGCTGTGTGCCTGCATAAAGAAGACAGCAGCAGAGTGTAGGATTGTGTTTATCTCTTGTCATTCCCTCATCCACACAGTCAAAGAACAAACTAGAAGGAATGTTTGGTCTGGTAAAATTAAATAAATAAATACATACAAAAATAATGAATGTTATTGTAGGTTGAGAACTTGTGAGATGCACATTTGCCTTACTTGAATAATCCATCTCAGAATGGATTCACATCTGTGATAGCTACAAGTCATCCTATATGAAAGATTTCTTTCCTAGTGTCACGAGTCTCACGACTGAAAGGTCTGCTTATGTTACGCTGCCACACAATGGAGAAACAATGCATTGCCGTATGAAAATCCTTCAATATATCCTTACTGTTTTTTGCTCTGTTTGATTATGGAAAAGCTTAGTAATACAAAACATATTCCAAGTATATGATATGTTTATGAATGTGTAAGAATGCATAAAAACACAACAAACTGTTAATACTCACAAGTTGTGTTCTTGCTCAGGAGAGGCTGCAGACTCTGCTCCATTAGTCACCGGAGTGAGAGGAGAAGTGGGTGAGCTAAAGGTCGTAGAGGAGGGACTGGTCAACACAGAACTGCCAGAAACAGGAGAATAAGAGGAATCTAACAGCTGTGGGGAGGCTGTACGCATCACCTCTGAAACACAAACGGTGCAAATGAAGTGTGAATGCTATAATCTTTTAACATGGGATCTGAAATGACAATGCGCAGACACTGAATGTGTGAGACAGGCCCTTCAGTGGATAGCACAAGGTACAAGAACAGGGACGGAGAGAGACTGCATTGAAGATACCTGGGGTAGGGCTGTTAGAAGAGACTGATACCGTTGGGGAACCTGGTCGAAAGGAACTATCTGTAAGATTGTGAGAAGATGACCGCCGGCTCCTCCTGCCCTCCTGCTCGCTGGGTGTCAGTTTCCTTCGGTCTTTACGGGCATTCGGTGCCCCTTCATCGATCTCACCATCTTCATACTTGAGGGCATTCTACATAATATACAAAACACAGAAATTATTCACTATTTGTAGAGTTACACTACTGTTTAAAAGGTTGGAGCCAGATTTTTTTAATGACTTTGACAGAAGACTCTTAAGCTCACCAAGGCTGCTTTTATTTGATTGCAAATACGGTAAAGACAATTGTGTAATATTATTACAATTTAAAATAACTGTTTTCTATTTTAATATAATTAAACATGTAATTTTAACATGTATTACTGAAGCTGAATTTCTAGCAGCCATTAGTCTTAAATATCACATGATTCTTCTATTTTGGTGCTCAAGAGACATTTCTTATTAATATTAATGTTGAAAACAGTTGTGCTGGAAACAGTGCTATTTTTTTCAGGATTATTTGATTAACAGAAAGTTCAAAAGAACAATTTATTTGAAATAGAAATCTTTTATAACATGATCAAATGTTTTTACTGTCACTTTTGATCAATTTAATTTGTCCTTGCTGAATAGAAGTATAAATGTCTTTATTTAAAAAAAATACATACTGACACCACATTTTGAACAATCATGTATATGTCTGAAATATGGAGTGTTTGAGGTGTACTGGGAGTTTACCTCATAAATGATGAACTGCTGTTTAATGTCACCCTCGGTGCCGCTGCTTGTCATACGTTTCTGGACTATGCTTTCCATTCCTAGCTGCTCCAAACAGTCTGTCACATCATAAAATGAGTCCTGATCAGGAAGCGCAGCCAGAGTCTGGGAGGCCAGAGGTATAAATCCATATCAAGGACATTGAGGCTTCAGCACTGTGCTGATATGGATCACGGTTGTAGATTGGTATGTCTAATCTGTGTTTTACCTTGTTGATGAGGGTCATGGTGTAGATGAGCAGCTCTGCGTCTGATCCATTCTTCTCTGACAGGATATCTGTTAGATACGTCCAAGGCTTTACTCCTGAAAGAGACAAAGTACACCCTAAGCTCCCTTGAAAATAATGTATTAAAAAAATATCTGTATTGTGATGATAATGACAGAAAAGAATGAATGGCACATGATGGATTCAGAATATAAGTGTCATGAGAGAATGTTTAAATGTGTTTAACCTCTCTTTCCATCCACAATGGTGACAGCTTGAATAAGCAGTTGACTGTTGGACTCAGTGTATTCCACAAACACTATCAGCAACTTCAGAGCTGTCTTCACAACCAGCCGAGACTGAAGAGAAAGAGAAAGAGAGAAATAGGCTATAAAGAGGCAGTATTTACGGTCCTCTTACAGAAGATGGCAGTATCAAACCTCAATAAGGCTCAGTTATAATCTTTTTAATGCATTCAAGTTCTGCACACAATAGTGTATACTGACAAAATAAACATGCATCTTCAACATTAATACAATAACTTACCACTAGTATTTTGTGTTTGTTGTAAATAAAAACAAAGTCTGGTTCAGGTTTTATTTCTGATAGTTACTTGATATTACTCATTCACTCGATTCTCATTTTCACTTCCTCTTTGATATCATGCAGAAGGATATGACCTCAAACTGATGCTCAAGATGACTGAATCCATTACAGTAAAAAGTGTACAAATCTCATGTCAACAGATTCACACTAAGTTTACACAAAGGCACTTCCAAAACTATACATACATATTTTAAATTTGTAAAGATGCAAACTCAACAGAGCAATGGCCCAAACTTGAAATGGTTGCACAACAGCACCAGCCAGTTTATTATAGCCATTTCAATATCAAGTAGCTACTGTAGTAATAAGCATTTCTGTGGAGGATTTGGCAAACCATTCTCCCACAATAGTAACATATTTAACTTTAATAATTAGAAGAGAAGGTTGTGAGTGAAGATCAAAATACTTGATTTTGGTCCAGATTCACACCTACATCTATCTCTGCACTAGCTTGTACTTTTCTGGCCAACCTTATATTTTTTTTTCTCTAATTTTACATTGCCTTAGGATGAACTAACTGTTTTGCTGAACTGCATTTGTTTTGTTTTCTTTCTGTTTTTTAATTTACACATTTGGCAGACACTTTAATCCAAAGCGACTTCAATGTATACAGCAAATCAGTTCATGCATTACCCAAGAATCAAACCCAAGGTGTTGTGAGCACTATGCTGTAAGTGGCTTTGGATAATTCAGCAGATAAGCATTTGCTCAATGAGTTAATGTACAGTAAAAGTAATCCAGCCCTCAGGAATCAAATGATTATCACATACAATCAACTTTTGAACATTAATCTATTGACTCTTAATTCGGCTGGCATGTTGTGGTATTAAAATGTCAAGGTGCATTAATACACAACCACTGATGGAACATGATCCTAACGTAAATAATACTGTATTGTGGTCAGTGTTTACAGTTGCGGTATGTGTGTGTTGCCGTCACTCACCAGGCTGCCAGTCAGTGTGTACAGCCACTGTACAGTCTCGTTGTGGTTCACAACACCGTTCATTCCGTCCACAAACAGCATGATCTGACTGAGAGCTGGGAACAGGACAGCAGAGTTTACTGTACAGTGCCGGCATGTTTGCTGGTCTAATTGCTGGTCTAATTCTGGTCAGTATAAACTTACTGTTACAGATGGCCTACTTAGCCAAAAATATGTAATATCCTTTGTGCTATTTGAAGTCTGCATGCAAGATGTGTGGTGTACGTGCATAATAAATACATCATATTAGACTGATTTTAGAAACTCTAGACTGATACATATTCACACATCTTTCAAAGTCATGTCATGTTAATGATTAGTGAAAGAGTCATCAATAACCCTGCTAACGAATAAACATTTTTAATGGAGACATGCACAAAATATTTTGCAGCAGTGCTGCATATGCTCCAGTAAAGACACGGTGTTGAGAACAGACCTCTGAGGATGTAGTTCTGGTAGTTATGATCTGCCTCAGCACCCACTTTAATGAAACACGTCAGACCCTCAGAGATGACAAATTCTGGAACCAAGTCCTTATCATCCTGTGCGATATAAAACCGAATTAAGATCTGCCGCTGTGCATGGATATGGCAATTTCCACAAAAATATTAAGCAGCACAACTGTTTTTAACATTGCTATTAATAAGAAATCATTAATGAGAAAATAAAAATATTAGAATGATCCTTCATCATGTGACACTGAAGACTGGAGTAATGACTTCTAAAATATTTTCAATGGCCACTCTGCATGCCTATATATTTAATAAAATTAGTAAAATCTCAGCTTCTGGCATACTATTCTCCAATAGCAAACTGTCGATCATAACTAGTTATATTATAATATAGTATATTATACATACAGTATGACCTATATGTAATGATGAACTATAGCATATCTTATATCATCTATATCTTATTTCATTTTCTTATATTATATTAAAACTTAACATGGGTTCCAGAAGCAATAAATACTATTAATGTAAAGGTAGATTGTATCAGTATTGCTTTGTTCTGTTGTGGGACACTTCCTCAAGACTGAATTTTGTGCTTATTTTTCCTCACAATTTAGAATAAATTTAGAGCCCAATGTAACAGTACGTGGAAGAGACATCAAGTTTTTGTCAATCATTCTGTTTAGTATATACTTCTCTCTGTCCTGCTCTGACTGTCAGCATCTGTAACAGCTCACGTCCTTATCTAACTCACTCACATATAGCTTTTTCTCTTTTAAAAACTTGTGTGTGTTTTTCAGGATCTTACTTGAAAGAGTTGCTTTAAAGAAAACAAGGACCGGCGAAGCTCAGGACCATGGGAATTATACAACTTCTCTATAAGAAGGAGAAAAGGAGAAAAAAAAAGGTTATTCATCAGTCAATAGACAAGGGCATCAATACTTGCATCTAAGAGACAAAAATTGTTATTATTGCAGTGACACATTCTCAAAGAGCACTTAAACACACACCTTATCAAGATACCTACTGACATAAAGATTAAAGTTCACAGCATGACTGAGTCACAGTCTCCGATTCAGTGTAATTCACTCAGCTAGCTAGATTTTACCAGTACAATTTGTTTGGTAGTAAACACAAGCAAACCATTTGCATTGATAAAAACAAGGTATCATTAAGCATCAGATGTTTGGAATTCTCCAACTAGCTTATCATTCAGAATCAGAGGAAATAAGAGGTGGTGTCACTGACTGCCTGTAAACAGTCATTCCTGTCATATAAATAAATACCTTTCACATATTTTGCCCTTGACTGACAGGTTAGTTATGAACCATTAAACTAAAACCATTTAACACACCTTTAAAACACAGTTTTATTTTCTTGATAAGCATTTAAAATTATGGTACTGTACCAGTCATAAGACACACCTACTCATTCTTTACCATTTTCCACATTTTAGAGCAACTACATATTCATTAAATCTGTGAAATGACACAAATGGACATATGGGAATGTTAAGTAGATCAAAACTTATTATGTATTTTAGAAAAGCTGTCACTTTTTGTCTACCACTGCATTCTCTCAAACAGCTTCACAAGAAGTCCTTTTCCTTCACCATGTTGTCCAACTCATCCATTAAAAAAAGGTGAGGAATTAAAATTTTAGTTTTGTAAAGACATTCATAGGTGCAATTCGTGTCAACAAATGCTATTTCAAACGGTTAATAATAAAGATCCATTTATATAAGGTCTTTAAGATCATGAGAAACATGCATGTATCCAAATTCTGACTGGTTCTGTATGAAATAAATAACGGAGAAAGAAAGAAAGAACATCCATCACTAAGGTGGTGTACATGAAGACATTTAAGGGGACATCAGAAGCCTTAAGCCAGAAGTTGGTGTGATTCTTTAGGGTCTTCATGAAATGTCTGTAACATACTTTGGTTAAAATTCCTCAATGGATGTGTAAAACAACACCCTTTTTACCTTGTCAAAAACAGCTCTGTTCACAGCGACCCGTTTTGTTGCATGTCTCTTTAAATGCTAATGAGCTACTGCTCACCTCTCTCTTCCATGCAGTAGCCCCTCACTGCAGAACACAAGATCCAGGGGGGCGTGGTTGGATCCACATCTAGGGGGTGGAGATTGGTAAGTTAAGGGGTGGAGATGGGTAGGTTTAGGGGTGGAGATGGGTGGGTTTAGGGATCAGGGGGTGGAGACGGGTATGTTTAGGTATATGAATGGTGGGAGGAGTTGGATCTGGATCCAACCACGCCCCCTGGATCTTGTGTTCTGCAGTGAGGACCATCTCCTTCCGTGGGGTGTGTCGACACAAGACAAGTGAATTGCTGCCATATTAGGCTACGTTCACACTGCGAGCCTTAGTGCTCAATTCCAATTTTTTTTCTCAGATCTGATTTTTTTGTATAGCTGTTCACATTGTTGTTTTAAATGTGGCCAATATCAGATTTCCAGTGTGAACAGGTCATGGTTCTGAACTGACCCGCATGTGCAAAAGAATGATAAGAACAGGGTTTCCAGGTTTTTACAACAAAATCCGCCCAATTGTTTCTCAAAACTAGTCCAAAACTAGCCCAACCATGTTCAGGGAGGTAAACATCGCGTTAGTGGGATCGCGTCAACCCACGAATTTGAAAAACAACCCGCAGCAAGTGTAAAAAGTAGCCAAATTCCACGTGGAAACTGTGGATTTGGCAACAAATTTGCGTGGCGCGCTGTCATACGGATGTAAACATGGAGGACATAAAGTGATTATGCGTGATTATTTATTTATAGTGTGATCTGCTGCTGAAGCCAGCAAAATTAATCACAGGCAATATGAAAAATAAAGACAAGGATGTGACAAAAGATAGCAGAGTTCTGAAACTTTAATGATTCAAGCTCTCATGTTTTGCTTGTATATGGAGTTGTCACTATAATACTTATGAGTTCTGACACATTACTGTACTTCCACTGACTACCTTTCGCAACTGTCTTGATAACTTTGGGTATGTAAAATCTCTTAAGTGTCTCCCGTCAGCGTGGAATTATGACGAATGTCGATCTAGAGTGACGTAAATGTCACATGAATTCCGACATGACTGTTCACACTGCGGTCGCATTTCAAAACATCTGACCCATACCACAGTCAGCGGAAGTGAGAAAAAATGTGTTTATTACGTTTGAAATATGGATATTTATCTGACAAAAATGCATGGATTCATTACAGGAGGCCTTTATTCACCCCCCGGAGCCGTGTGAGGGACGTTTTATTATGGATGCGCGCACTTTATTTCACGTCTTCTGAACTGTTGACAACCAACACCCACTTACCCCCATTGAAAGGCTTGGAGGGGCCAGGACAATTTTTAATATAACTCCGATTGGATTCGTCTGAAAGAAGAAAGTCACATACACCTAGGATGCTTTGAGGGTGAGTAAAACACAGGCTAATTTTCATTTTTGGGTGAACTAACCCTTTAAAATAAACCTAGCCTACTGTAGCAGAATAAATTAAAAGTTTATTTCATATTTATTTGTTCTTTTGTGCTTGGAATTTGCTTCTTTTTCTTAATTTTAATAACAAAAATAAGATAAAAATAGCTATATCAAGGTACATATCGTTATTGTGAAATTACATTTCTTATATCGTGAAAAGATTTTGGTCAAATCGCCCATTCCTACATGCCAGAAACATAACTAAATGCAAAAAAGGTTAAAAAAGTGAAAATTTCATTCTATGTCCCTTTTAAAGCTCTTTCCAGAGACGCTGAAGAAGGAAGCAAAGAGAAAAATACTGCAGCAGGCAGATCACTCACTGTTCATGATGCACAAACTATTGGAAGAAAATCCTCAATATTGATTTGGGGGTTTATATGAATGTGTTTCTGAGGAGAACTGACTGTCTTCAGAAAAGTTTTACGTGGTATTTTCTTTTAATCTCGTCTCCGTATAGTTCATATTAAAGCAGTGTTTCAGCGCAGTACTGCTTTGTTTACGGCGGTAACCAAGGAAATGCTGTATCTGGTGTTCCAGAAGCGCCTCCTGCTGTCAGAAAGTGAATCTGCATCTCATTCAGGTTCTTTTGTGCTTGGAATTTGCTTCTTTTTCTTAATTTTAATAACAAAAATAAGATAAAAATAGCTATATCAAGGTACATATCGTTATTGTGAAATTACATTTCTTATATCGTGAAAAGATTTTGGTCAAATCGCCCATTAACAAAAGCCAGAAACATAACTAAATGCAAAAAAGGTTAAAAAAGTGAAAATTTCATTCTATGTCCCTTTTAAAGCTCTTTCTCTCTCTCACACACATACACAAACACATACATGGATCTTCCAGTCTAGCTGGTTATAGGCATGGGCCGATTACCTGTTTCACGGTATACCACGATTTGAAAATTTCACGGTTTCAAAACCACTACTATTTTCTGTTATACCGTTCCTGCGGTATGCGCTGTTTTTCATGTCTCCTCGAAGACTGAAAGTGTAGGAATCCCTCAGATTGAGTGCAGTGTAGAGAGTAGCACGACCCTCCTCCTCCTGTTGGTGCGAGCGAGCGGTCAGTCACGTGTGTGTT